TTGAGCTCTTCAAATTTGGCCGGCCCATCACATACAAAAATGATCCAACAAGAGGACCCACCCCATGCTCCATCTGTAGCTATCTCCCAAACCCACAGTCATGCTCCTCTAGCCATCCCTAACCCCCATTCTCCTACCTTCAGTCCTCACCTCCATTGCCATCGTTCTCCATCCCCCCATCCTCCCACCCCATCCCATCCAGACTCTCTTGCGAATCCTTCTCTGTCAATCGTCCCAGACTCATTCCTTTCCGAAACTGATTCTCTCGAACCAACTCCCCGAGCTTCTGTGAATCATTGGAATGATCCAGTCGGTGGAACCTCTAAACCGCTAGTGGGCCTCTCCAAAAGAAAGAGCAAAAGGAAATTCCTGCAGCACGTGCTTGGTAATGTATCAGCTAATAAATTCATCAGAAGAGGGGGCAGGAATAAGGGCGGAAAAGCTGCATCAGTCCGATCAGCGGCAGCAACAACTTCATTATCCATTTCTTCAGGGGCCATAGCTAATCGTAATCGCATTATACTTAACGAAGCCCAGGCAGTGTGGGAAATTGGGAAGCTCCTTGGCCTGAAAAGTAATGAAGAAGATGAAGAGGTTGTTAGCAAGCTTCATGAGCTCCATGACCAACATGAGCTTCAGCATAACGATACAGAAGGTGAGAGGAATTAATCCTCTACCCACTCGGCCTATTCATGGACTTTAATTTTGTTTTTTCCATGAAGATTATCTCTTGGAACATAAGGGGCTTAGGGAAAAGGGAGAAAAGAAGAGGTGTTAAAAATCTTATCTCTCAGCACAAAGTTGATTTTCTGTTCCTCCAAGAAACCAAGGTAGCAACTATCACAAATCAACTCATCCACTCCATTTGGCCCCACAATGACCCGGGTTTTGCAGTAGTGGAGGCCGAGGGAACTTCGGGCGGTATTATTAGCGTTTGGGATAAATCAGTATTTTCAGTTTGTGATTGCATTCAGAGACCGAACTTCATCCTTCTTAAAGGTACGATCTCTCCGGACTTTGAATGTATTTTGATTAATATCTACGCTCCTAATGAAGCCAGGGCTAGGAAAATTCTTTGGGATGAATTATTAAGCCTCCGAGCTAGTTATGATTTACCATGGTGTGTTGGGGGTGACTTTAATGAAATTATTAGAATTGGGGAAAGAAAAGGCTGTCTTACAATCTCTGCTAGTATGAAACATCTCAGTGATCTAGTGGCCAATCTGGAGCTTAGAGACCTCCCCCTGCAAGGCAGATCCTTCACTTGGTCTAATAATCAAGAGGCTGACAGATGGAGCAGATTAGACAGGTTTCTCCTCCACTCACAATGGCTGGACAGATTTGATTTTAAACAATGGGGCCTCCAACGCTTATTATCCGATCATTGTCCAATTCTCCTCATGGTGGATAATAGAGACTGGGGTCCAAAGCCGTTCAGATTCCTCAATGCCTGGACCTCCCATCCTAATTTCCTTAAAGTTGTCAAAGGCGCATGGAATCAGAGTCTTCACCTTGGCTGGGCTGGGCACAGAATTTTTATGAAGCTCAAGGAAGTGAAATCAGCTCTCAAACAGTGGAATATGGAGGAGTTTGGTGATCAAAATGAAAAACTCAATTCCATTAGTAATCAATTACACTCGCTAGATCTCCTTCAAGAGACCCGTTCTCTATCTGAGGAGGAGTCAACAGGCAAGAGGAAGCTGAAATTCGAATTCTGGAAAACTTCAAGGTTGATTGAGAGCATTTGGCTGCAAAAATCAAGACAAGTGTGGTTCACGAATGGGGACAAAAACACCAAATATTTCCATATGATTGCAAGCACAAGGCAGAGGAAAAATGCTATTGGTAATCTATTCATCAATGGAATTCACTTAGAAGATCCGGAGCAAATAAAAAGAGCAGTTAGGTCTCATTTTCAGAATTTCTTCTCCGAAAAGTGGCCCTCAAGACCCACATTTTCAGAACCTTTTCAGCGCTCCCTTTCTGATTTGGATGCATCTCTGTTAGAGCAACCTTTTTCTGAGACTGAGATCCTGGATGCAATAAATCATTGCGAAGGTAATAAGGCTCCTGGTCCTGATGGCTTCAATATGAAATTTATCAAAAAATGCTGGGCCTTCATAAAAGCAGATCTTTGTCTCTTCTTCAATGAATTCCATCTTAACAGCAAGATTAAGAAAGGCCTGAATTCCACCTTCTTAACCTTGATTCCAAAAATTCCAAACCCATCTTCTTTATCTGACTACAGGCCCATCAGTTTGCTAGGCTGTATCTATAAGGTTCTAGCCAAGGTCTTATCAAGTAGATTGAAATCGGTTTTGCCAAATCTGATCGATGAAACTCAATCAGCTTTTGTAAAAGGGAGACAAATCTTGGATGGTATTCTCATCGCCAATGAAGTTGTTGATTTGTGGAAGCGCAACTCTTCAGGTGGGCTTCTTCTCAAATTGGATTTTCAGAAGGCTTTTGATAGTGTCAATTGGAACTTTCTTTTTCATATCCTTCAAAATTTCGGTTTTGGTGCAAAGTGGATCTCTTGGATTAAGGAATGTGTTTCTTCCCCTCATATTTCTGTATTGGTGAATGGATCCCCCTCTCAAGAATTTCCCCCTCAGAGAGGCTTAAGGCAAGGTGACCCTCTCTCCCCATTTCTCTTTAATCTTGTGGTTGAAGGGCTAACTATTCTCATCCAAAGAGCCAAAAATCTCAATCTTATCAAGGGAGTGGATATCGGTAGCTCGGGATTGAACCTTTCACATCTACAATTTGCAGATGACACTCTTATGTTCTGCAATCCAGATTGGGACGAGATTATTAATCTGAAAAGAATTCTCAGTTGCTTCGAATTAATCTCCGGTCTGAAAATCAATTACCTAAAGTCTGTAATTTGTGGTGTTGGGGTTAACAGGGACTTCACCTCTCAAGTAGCCGAATTCTTTAACTGCAGGGTGAGCTCGTTACCAATCAATTATCTTGGAATGCCTCTAGGGGCCAACCCAAAAAGACTGTCTACTTGGGAGCCTATCATTAACAAAGTGAAGAAAAGACTAGCCTCATGGAAGAAAAGGTATCTTTCTCTTGGAGGGCGAATCACTTTGATTAAATCTGTTCTCTCTTCAATTCCCATCTATTATATGTCCCTCTTCAAAATCCCTACCCAAGTGGCAAACTTAATTGATAAATATCAGAGATCCTTTTTATGGGGGGATAGTGATGTCAAAAGGAAATTACATCTTCTCAACTGGGAGGCATGCTCTGTTAGCAAATTCTTTGGAGGTTTGGGCTTCAGAAAGACTAAGGAAGGCAATGATACTCTCCTATGCAAATGGTGGTGGAGATTCGCCACCGAAAAAAGTTCCTTGTGGAGGAAAGTTCTCTGTGCCAAAAACAATGTGAATGAAGATTGTTGGTTACCTAATGGCTCAAGCTTCAAACTTTCATCTGCAGTGTGGAAAAGTATCTCATCTTTGGAAAGGTATGGATCTAGAGCAATTGCTCTATTTTTGGAAAACATTCAGTTCAAGCTAGGGGATGGTAAAAGAATTAAATTTTGGTTGGATGCTTGGGCCTCATGTACTCCTTTGTCCAACCTATATCCCAGACTTTTCTCTCTAGCTACAAACCAAGATTCTTTCGTTCACCAGTATTTGTATCAGGCTGCGGGTAATCAAACTCATTGGAATATCACATATAGGAGAACCCTGAGAGCTTGGGAAGATGAGTTGCATCTTGAGCTGATTAGTAAATTGCCTCAACCTCTCAGCATTAATAACAATTGTGTGGATCACCTGCTATGGACTCCTTTCCCATCAGGCTCCTTTACAGTTAAATCTCTTTATGGAATTTTTGAAAATTCTCTTCGTTTAACCCCTTTCCCGATTATGAAGATGTGGAAATCAGCAGCCCCTCCCAAAATTAAAGCTTTTGGTTGCCTTGTTTGGTGGAATAGAATCGCCTCTTCAGATCTCCTTGCTCGCAGGCTCATTATCCCCGCTATCAATCACTGCGCTTTTTGCGGTACCGATAACGAATCTGCTCTGCATTTGCTCCTGCATTGTAAGTTCGCTTGGAAGGTTTGGGCTGAAATCATTTGTTGGTGGGGGTCCCAATGGGTTTCCCCTAGTTCCTTACAAGACTTACTTTTATGGTGGTATGGTCAAAAATACAAACACCTGGGTAAACTCATCTGGGAAGCAATTCCATTGGCTGTGGTTTGGAGTTTATGGATTGCCAGAAACAACATGGTTTTTAACTCTATAGCTCCTGGTTGGGGGAATATTGTGGATAGTATCAAGATCAAAGTGGCCACATGGGTGAAGTTTTCTACTCATTTGCCTTCCTACACAATCCATGATTTCATGTTCTGCTTGGTTGGATTGAAGGGCCACAAATTGTAGCCTCCTGTAGGATATAGTCCTCTGATCTTTTATTTTCATTCCCTGTTTTGGTTGAGTTCTCATCAACCTTTGTATCGGCCTTGGCTTGCATAGGATTGGGCTCAATTATAGGTGCCAACCTAGTTGGGATGTATTTTTGAGCTATGATGCACTTCAGTCAAGTCCCCTCTTCTATCCTTTATCAATAAAATTTTTCTTTGCTGATCAAAAAAAAAAAAATTGATGTGTAGAATATGATATTTTGTCTTATTAATTCTTTTTTTTTTTTTTTCAAAACTGTAGCGATTAAAAATGTGATTTACCATTTTTCCAAATACTACATTGGTTATGATGTAAAACAAAAGCATGTAGGGGCTCAAACATCATTGTAGGAATTTGGAATTCAACAAGAAAAATTAGGAATTCAACAGGAAGAGAAAAGTCCCAAAAAAAAAATTATTCATTAGAAGCTCTCTTGCCATAACGTTGGTTTGGCTCATGACTTTTTGGCTATTAAAAAAAATTTAGAAGTCACAAAAAGATTAAAAAATCAAAAAGATTAAAATACCACATCATATATATCAATTAATCATTTTTCCCCACGTAACTATCTATTCAACTATAAAAACTATTCCAAATGCACTAAAATTTTTCATTTCATACAAAAACTAAAACGGCAGTCTAAAATATTTTCAAAATAAACACAACCATTGAATTTAGGTAATTTTCATAATACCTAAAATCTTAATGAGAATGGACATGTCAACTAACAAGCTGTTTGTGAGCAAAATATCCAATGCTACTCCAGAGAGTCACTTTCACAATTCTGATGAATATGAAACTCTTTACGTGTAACAGTTTCTGTCACACAATCTGCATTCTTTGCTTGTTAGTCATCAAGCCAGGTGAATCGTCACCATGGTACCAACTCACACAAAGTATAATTTTGAATTTGGTTATTGTCCTTCAATAATTGATTTAGAGACAGTACTCATGAAACGTATACTATTGCATTGTGATCGAAGATCAGCTTCTGACAAACTTTGAGTAGTAAATATAGGCTGCTTTGGTTGTGGAACTTCTATTTCACTGCTTAGCATGAGAACTACTGCTGACATGGTTGGCCTATTCGCAACATGGTCCTGAACACAAAGAAGTCCGATATGTATGCATCTTATAGCTTCTGTTTGGGAAAGCGAGTCATCCAATGATTCATCCATTAAGTCTAATGCCCTTCTCTTGTTCCACATTTGCCATGCCTGGAATAGTTCTACTTATGTCAATATATGAAATTATAAAAACCACATAATCAAGGCAACTAAAGTTTCCAAAAGCAAATTAAGGTCAAATTACTGCACTTACATAACCAAGGAGGTTTAGATATTGATCCTGGTAATGTAAGCTAGTATTCCTTGTGCCACTAACAATTTCTAGTAGCAAAACACCAAAACTAAATACATCAGACTTTTCTGAAAATAGCCCTCCCATTGCATACTCAGGAGACATGTAGCCACTGCATTTGATTAGAAAATGTAACGTTTATTCTTACATGAGATATATATAACTGCCAATAAATAAATGTTATGTAGCTATTCTAGCAATGAAAAGGGGAAGGCGAAAGAATTATTTACTGATCACAGATGAATTGCCCCAAGTTCAAATAGAAGTTGGAAGAAAATGGATTACCAGAAAGGACGAAAAGAAATGACATAGAAGCGAATAAAATAAGTATTTTCCATAAAACAAGACAATTGCAATCTAAAGGAAATGCGTATTTTGGAGTACTCTTGAAGCTATCTATGTTACATTAACTAATAGAAGAAGGCCTTTGCTGTATATTATTGAGATCATTGTTTTCAATCTGTTTTGTCTGCAAAATGTTGAGATAGTTCACAATACTGACCATGGTCTATGAAATGAGAACAATGGCTAATCAGAGGGAGGGAGGGAGGGAGGGAGGGAGGGACAAAGTAAGATGAGGTGAGAAAGAGAGCACTCCATGCTATTTATAAAGGTTAGGTGATTTTTTGTTCTACCAGTTTTTTCTTTATCATATATAATGATTTGTGACATAAAGACCAAAGTGAAATTTGAATGAAAGTTTAAGAGTGAAAAGTGTTATTTTTACCTAAACAGCGAGTGACAGAAGCACCATATTTGAACAAGGTTTGAAGTGAGAGAACTTAATTGTTGCAATTAGAAGACGAGGGACCAAAGTGAAATTCAAATGAAAATTCGTGGCCAACATGTAATTTACCCTACAATTTTTTGTTTTGCCAGTTGTTTTTCGTTGTAACCTATCATGATACAATACATGAGCAGTTTGTCACTAATAACGATATTAGGCTAATACAGTCAACTATTGGTGTGAACTGCCAGTCTTTTTTTCATTTCCAAATTGTCCCATACAACTGCCTCAGATTTTGATTTCACTAGATGAGACACTCAAAGGTCAAACAAGCAGTATTTATCTAATGCAATGTATGTTATCTAAAGCCTAAGCCTATGCCTATTTAAAACTCTCACCTCCATCATAATCCAAGATATATTTTATGCCCAGCCCATTTGCATAGCACTAGTTAAGGATCACCTACTAATCAGCGACAGGGAGCCTGTTGCGATCTCTACTAGTGACTAAATCAACAATACTGTTATTTGTAGAGACCTTGACATAACTGCATCAGTACGGAAAATAGTCGGCAAAACTGAGCAGAAGGAAATAAAGTATCCTTACAATGTTCCCATCACCCTGTGAGTATTTGCCAGCTCTTGTGTAACTCGAAAAGTTCGTGCCAACCCAAAGTCTGAAATTTTGGGATTCATATCATCATCCAAGAGAATATTGCTGGCCTTCAAATCTCTGTGAATAACTCTTAAACAAGAATCACGATGGAGATAAAGGAGTCCTCTAGCAATTCCCTGAATTATGTTGAAGCGTTTAGCCCAATCAAGTTCCACCCTTTTCTTTGCATCTAATCAGGAAGCATGACAGTCAAAAAGATGCATTCATCAAAGTCAGTCCTCCCCTTACATTATACCAGCAGTGAGAATAAGAGAACTAGGATGAACACAGTTTTAGCATTTCTTTAGTAACAGTAGTGAATGAACTATAAACAATTGATGGTGAAAAATGGGACTGTAAATTATGGTGTTTTCCTTTTCAATAAAACAATGTGCCCGCTTAAGATAGTTAATTTGGGAATATTTCACATATGGTTCAGTCCTATCTGAATCTACAGGGGGATTATTTTGTTTAAGGGGAGTAACTTGGCAACAATAGTATTTCATGGAAAATCATAGGGATTCTAGTCAATATAATATTCTAATGAAACTTAACCTAGAAAAAATAAGCATGAAATGAAATTTTTATTAGGGGGGAAAATTTTTTTGCCAAGTCAAACTAACCAAAGAGAAAAGTGTCCAAGCTTCTGTTTTTCAGGTACTCATAAACCAGCAACTTCTCTTCCCCTTGAATGCAGCAACCCAAGAGCCTAACAAGATTCCTGTGCTGTAGTTTGGAGATCAATATGATCTCATTCTTGAACTCTTCCGAGCCTTGCCCTGAATGACTCAAAAGTCTTTTCACTGCTACTTCTTGCCCATCTTGAATAGTTCCACTTATGTCAATATATGAAATTATAAGAACCACATAATCAAGGCAACTAAAGTTTCCAAAAGCAAATTAAGGTCAAATTACTGCACTTACATAACCAAGGAGGTTTAGATATTGATCCTGGTAATGTAAACTAGTATTCCTCGTGCCACTAACAATTTCTAGTAGCAAAACACCAAAACTAAATACATCAGACTTTTCTGAAAATAGCCCTCCCATTGCATACTCAGGAGACATGTAGCCACTGCATTTGATTAGAAAATGTAACATTTATTCTTACATGAGATTTTATAACTACCAATAAATAAATGTTATGTAGCTATTCTAGCAATGAAAAGGGAAAGGCGAAAGAATTATTTACTGATCACAGATGAATCGCCCCAAATTCAAGTAGAAGTTGGAAGAAGATGGATTACCAAAAAGGAAGAAAAGAAATAACATAGAAGCAAATAAAATAAGTATTTTCCATAAAACAAGACAATTGCAGTCTAAGGGAGATGCTTATTTTGGAGTACTCTTGAAGCTATCTATGTTACATTAACTAATAGAGGAAGGCCTTTGCTGTATATTATTGAGATCATTGTTTTCAATCTGCTTTGTCTGCAAAATGTTGAGATAAGTTCACCATACTGGCTGTTAGTATATACTTGTTAATTAGAATAGCTTTAGCTTTATAATTGTTAATTGTATAGCTTTACTTTATACTTTCGGTGTAATTGTTAATTGTATAGCTTCACTTTATGCTTTCGGTGGTAGTGGGTTCTTTGGTATCCAATGCCCATATTTCTCTCTATAAAGAGAGACTTCATTCTCTTTGTAAATCAA